GGCTCGACACTTCCAGGCCTCCCGACAGCTCTGCAGCCAGGAGGTCCCAGCAGTGAGCGTGCTCAGCTGAGAGGGCCCCGAATCCTGCCAGCGGTGCCAGTCGGGGGTGTTAGGGTGAGCACCGCTGGCTTTGCCCGCAGATGAAGAGGTTGACGTTGGCCTTGGCCAGTGTGGCTCAGTGGTGAGCATCCTCCCAAGCAGGGCACATGCCCATGTTGTGGGCTCGATCCCCAGTAGAGGGCATAATGTATTTCTCTCTCACATCAATGTCTCTCTCTCTCTCTCTCTCTCTCTCTCTCCCTCCCTTTCTCTCTAAAATTACTAAAAGCAGTTTTTTTTAAGAAAAGAGGTGAACATTTGAATTTGCTTTTAGAGTTTTGATAACGATTACGCTGATTTTGAGACCAAAATTCAAGACCTGGACAGGAGGCTGGCCACCATCTTCTGCCAAGCCTTCGACGACGGTAACTTCATCGAGTCCTGCGCGAAGGTACGCGGGCGGGGACGCGGGTGCGGACACAGGGACCCTCTAATCCAGCCGTGGGCAAACTACGGCCCGCGGGCCGGATCCGGCCCGTTTGAAATGAATGAAACTAAAAAAAAAAAAAAGACCGTACCCTTTTATGGAATGATGTTTACTTTGAATTTATATTAGTTCACACAAACACTCCATCCATGCTTTTGTTCCGGCCTCCGGTCCAGTTTAAGAACCCATTGTGGCCCGCGAGTCAAAAAGTTTGCCCACGGCTGGTCCTAATCGGACGCCTTCACTTGGGCGCGAAGAGCCGGGCGCACGGGGTCAGGGCCTGGTTCCGTGTCTCGCAGCACGGGGGCCGGGGAGCCCTGGAGCAGCTTCTGACGGGCTTTGGGGCCCCGTCTCCAAGTGACCGGCCGGCGGCTCCTCTCCCGCCCCTCCTGGTCCTATCCAGGCCTGTCGCCACCCCCTCCTTTTACCGGGCAAAGGGCGGTAGCCATGGAGCCGTCCCCCCACCTGCGGAGAGGGACTGCACGTTCTTCAGCCCGGTCAGGAGACCAGGGGGCCCACGGCAGAGTCGGTGGGACTCCATCAGCACTTTGTTTATTTCATAATGGTGGCCTCATTCTCCTCTGAGAACATCTTTTTAAAAAATATATATTTTTTATTTCAGAGCAGAAGGGAGAGGGGGAGAGAGAGAAATATCAATGATGAGAGAGAATCATGGATGGGCTGCCTCCTGCACGCCCCCCACTGGGGACGGAGCCCGCAACCCTGGGCATGTGCCCTTGACCGGAATCGAACCCAGGACCCTTCCGTCCGCAGACCGACGCTCTATCCACTGAGCCATGCCGGCCAGCCCCTCTGTTAGCACTTTAGAGCAGGGGTCCTCAAACTACGGCCCGCGGGCCACATGCAAATACAAATACTGTATTTGTTCCCGTTTTGTTTTTTTACTTCAAAATAAGCTATGTGCAGTGTGCATAGGAATTTGTTTATAGTTTTTTTTTAAACTATAGTCCGGCCCTCCAACGGCCTGAGGGACAGTGAACTGGCCCCCTGTTTAAAAAGTTTGAGGACCCCTGCTTTAGAGGATGCGGACTGTAGGGAGGCCCTGGGGAGCACTGGTGCATCGGGGGTTCATTTCCCCAGCCGCGGACCTAGTGTGTGCTATTGGGTTAGAAGCCAGGGCTGGGTGTGCATCCCCATCAGACTCCAGGCGGCTCCGCCTCACTGGTGGCTGCGCGGAGAGGCCTCCTGGTCTCCACGGGACCTGCATGTTCTCCTCCCTCCCGAGCCTGGGGTGGGGGGTGGCGTCTGGGAGGACTTGGGGGGCCCTGGGGCTGGGCCCGCTGAAG